AGGGCAAGTACAATTAGTGTCTTTCATTGGATTGGATGATTCTGTGTCTGTAGAAGAATCTGAGTAATCAGATGATTCTGTCCATAAAAGATCATCATCCTGGATATGATCTATATGTGAGTCCGTAGAATCTGAGAATTCAGAATCATAATTGATTATATTATATAATTTTGTTTTGATTGAGTCATCTAAGTGTAATAATTCTATTTTCTTTTTTAATTTGCATTGGTGTTTATAATGACCAACTTTTCCACATTTATAACATACTGGAAGTTTTCTTTCTGTTTTGTATTTGGAGAGAATTTGTTTATAAACTTTTGTTTAGACTTTTTATATTGTTTATGTACTTTATTGGATTTGGATTTATACTTGTCTTTTTTGTATTTTTTCTTTTTCTTATATAACTTTTCAGGGTTATTTTTTCTATCGATATGGTATTCAAATTGTTCACAGAAATCACCAAGTTCTTTTCGTTTGGTAATTTGCTGTTTATCTAGCTGTCTTTTGAGTTTAAGATCAGTACATAAAGCTAATCCTTCAGCACATATTTCTGCAGATAGTTCTCCAAGTGTATATGTTGAGTATACTATAATTCCATTATGTTTCTTTCTAAGTCTATCTTTGACTTTTTCTGCAAATAACTAGGGTAGACCAGCAATAAATTTTTCTTTCCAATGATCTAATTGACAATCTTTCTTGCCGATACAACTAATCCAGCATTCTGGATTGCATGAATAAAAGTATTAATATGTATAATATGTTGATCTATAGATTCAGAAAAGATCAAGACATCATCAATATAAACTATCATAAATTGATAATAAGCATTATTAGTAAAACACCTGATGAATACAATTTTGCTTCTATTATGAAAAGAGTAAGTGAACAACGTACCTCTCAACACAAAGAACCTTCTATTTCAGACTTAAAACAAGAAATCAAAGAAGTCAAAAAGGAGGTACATCTATTAAAAAATAGAATTAAGACTTTAGAATTACAAAATCTATCTCAACAAGAGTCAGATACAGATGAACTAGAATTCGATCAGCTTATTACAACATATAAGCCTGATCCACCAGAAGATATACCAGAAACCTCAGAAGCTAAACCACATCTAGTAACAATTCCCTCTGTAAATCTGATAGATAAAATTATGATTTAAAAATGGTTTGTTCAAGTCACTATAATCGTAGCAAAAGATTATCGCTTTCAAACCTCAGCCCTAATAGACTCAAGTGCTGACCTTAATGTGATGCCTCCGAATTGGGCTTGGGTGGTATTCTCAAGCAACGCATTGATAATCAGGAACAACTACTCAAGTATACCTCTAAAGCCTGGAACCCAACCCAGCAAAACTATTCTATGATAAAAAAATAATTACTTGCCATAGTTCATTGTGTTACGAAATTTCAAAGTTATATTCTCAATCAACAATTTCTCATAAGAACTTATTGCAAAGCAGCTAAAGATATTTTGCAAAAAGATGTTCAAAATCTTGTTACTAAACAAATATTTGCCCGTTAGCAGGCTATCCTGTCCGCTTTTGATTTCACTATTAAACATCTTCCCGGGTCTTCTAATTCTCTTCCTGATTTTCTTGCATCAATGAAGGACTAGTACCGTCAAAATATTTTGACAAAACAACTCAGATCCTAAATACTGCAGATGGTAGTAGACTCTTTATCAATTATAAATTATCCAATGCTTCTGTCTGTAATAACCACCAATGTATTAATACACCATTTATTATGGTCAAAGGACTGAGTCAAGCAATTATACTTGGAGTCCCGTTTCTTACACTTCTATATCCTTTATCAATCGATCAAACAGGAATATCTTCAAATTATCAAAATGTACCAATACACTTTGATTTTATTCATAAACCAAAATTAAAAGAAATCAATAATGTCAAAAGTCAGTTACATAATAAAGAAAAATTTCTTTGTACTCTAAAACAAGAAATTAAATATAAATATATAGAAGAACAAATACAGGATCCTTTGATCCAACAAAAGATTCAATCAATTCAACAATAAATAGAAACTTCTATATGTAGTGAACATCCTAATGCTTTTTGGGAAAGGAAAAAGCACAGTATTAATCTACCATATGAACAAGGATTTGATGAAAAACAAATACCTACAAAAGTTAGACCTATACAAATGAACACTACTTTATTAGACATGTGTAGAAAAGAAATTGATGATCTCCAAACAAAAAAGTTAATAAGACCAAGCTCATCACCATGGAGTTGTGCAGCTTTCTATGTCAATAAAAATGTTGAAAAAGAACGAGGAGTCTCTCGATTAGTTATTAATTATAAACCTCTCAATAAAGTATTAAGATGGATTAGATATCACATCCCCAATAAAAAAGATTTATTAGATAGAGTAGTCAATGCTTGTATCTTTTCCAAATTTGATATGAAATCTGGATATTGGCAAATACAAATTCAAGAACAAGATAAATATAAAACAGCATTTAATGTACCGTTTGGACAATATGAATGGAATGTAATTCTATTTGGCTTAAAAAATGCTCCATCAGAATTTCAGAAAATAATGAATGATGTATTTAACGCTTATTATCAATTTATGATAGTTTATATTGATGATGTCTTGATCTTTTCTGAATCTATAGATCAACATATTAAACATATTAATACTTTTATTCATGCAATCCAGAATGCTGGATTAGTTGTATCGGCAAGAAAGATAACGTTATTTAAAACCAATATTAGGTTTCTAGGACATAATATTCATCATGGCACCATTATTCCAATAGATCGATCCATACAATTTGCTGATAAATTCCCTGATCTAATACTCGATAAGAAAGAACTTCAAAGATTCTTAGGATATTTAAATTATGTTAGTGATTTCTATCATAATCTTGCCATAGACGCTAAGCCTTTACATGATAGATTAAAAAAGCATCCCTTACCATGAACGAATATTCATACTAAAGCAGTTCAACTAATTAAACAAAAGGTAAAAACCCTTGTTTGCCTTTCTCTTCCCCATCCTACTGCTTTCAAGATAATAAAATGTGATGCCTCCGAATTGGGCTTGGGTGGTATTCTCAAGCAACGTATTGATAATCAGGAACAACTACTCAGGTATACCTTTGAAGCCTGGAACCCAACCCAGCAAAACTATTCTATGGTCAAACAAGAATTACTTGCCATAGTTCATTGTGTTACAAAATTTCAAAGTGATATTCTCAATCAACAATTTCTCATAAGAATTGATTGCAAAGCAGTTAAAGATATTCTGCAAAAAGATGTTCAAAATCTTGTTGCTAAACAAATATTTGCCCACTGGCAAGCTATCATGTCCGCTTTTGATTTCACTATTGAACATCTTCCCGGGTCTTCTAATTCTCTTCCTGATTTTCTCACCCATGAA